GAACGTGTACTCGACCATCGTCCTACGTGATAATAATCTATATGGGTTTGTACGAAGATGCCTGGTGAAAATGTCGACGACTCGGAGATTCGACAGACGGCTCTCCGATTTCCACTGACACCACGTTACAGCGGTCCGGAGTGGTTATTTTCACACCTACAGCGAACTTCGTCTCCTATTCCAATGCTTACTAACATAAAAGTAGGTACGGACTCTGTTTTCGTAGAGTTAGCGTCGGGAAAGTTTAATTTCCTATTCGGGACCTACTTTTCAAGCGAGCTAATATCATGCGAACATTTCAGCAGGATCTTAACTCGTCTATATACCTTGAATGTGACTATAATGTAGATACGTGGCTTCTAAGCATTTTCCACCGGATGGACACACAGCATAGATGATTTAGTAGAAGCTATGAAGCCGTTACAAAATGCAATATGTACGAAAAGAATGAAATAAACATTTACGTAAGTTTAAATTACGGGCTGGCTTGTTTTTTGAATGCTCATAGTATACTGGATCCAGACAAAATTTTATTACATATGAGAAAATAAGTCTTACTTTATGCCTTTGTGAAGAACGGTTCATGTCATAGATATGACCTTCACAGAAGTGGCGTCAAGCGATATAGTTTGTATTACTACGCTATGACTTGTTTCTCAGAACTGCTGCCACTAGCTCGCTTAACGCAACGTTTCTCAAATGGCCATAATACCTGGCTATAATGAGCCGCTTCAGAGAAGACTCATAGACGTATTCGTATGAGACGCCGATCCCGAAAACAGCGTTTTCAAAGCAAACTTTATTTGCCGGTTAGTATATTTTAGCATGACTAACTGAAAACTAAACAACAAATACAAATTATATACATCTATTTTTGCCAGCGCACGCAATGGTTGCCGCTAGACGGTTCGTGATGCATCCGGTTAACAGTAACCTATTTAAAATGTCTGTTTTTTATCTAATGTTTATTTGTTTGTATAAATATGTAACGTTGTTTAAACACGTGGAGTAATACGCAAGGTGGGATGGCGAAAAAAAAATTGATTTCCAGTGCGTATTTCTGTTTAATGCTTTAACCGTAAATAATCGTTGCAATATTGAAGAGCAAACATTTTTCAAGTATAATCTCTAAAAAGGGCTGTTTTTGGGACACCAATAGAATCATCATTATATAACAACATTCCATTGATCACTTTTGATTTTTTTAAAAGATTTTTTTTATTTGAAAATATCCGAAATTAATCGCGATCAGGGTGCTTAAAAGGTGACCCAACCCCAAAATTTTGATATTTTTTATTGTAATTCTGTCGCACTCCCTTAGAGTTAGTCTAATTCGATATAGTATATATCTTACTGTAGAAATCATTAAAAATGTAGAAAAATATAAAATAGTCAAATAATACGAGTGGAAGTGTTTTCTACATGAAATCGGAAGTTCTTGTTTACTAATCTCGACACAATTCGGATATTTTACTCCGCTGCTATGTATTAAAACGTATTTTAAACACTTTTTAAATTTTAAAACAAAATTTAGAAAAAAAATCCACAGAAGGGTGACCAGTTATAACAGGTATTACTTAAAAGTCTAAATTGCCGTCATTTGTGAAAAAAAAAAAAAAAAAAGATGAACGAAAATATTCAGCGAAAAGCTACGATCAAAAAACAGCTAAATTTTTTACCAGCTCTTGCTGAAATCGCGTGTCTTTCAAGTATTCAAGAGAGCAGCTACTTCTGTGAACAGTATCAGTCTGTCATACGCTCAACCAAACAGAGGACTTCTAATCACCAAAGCTCTGAAAGAGTTTTTGTTGGCCCGATTCACAATTGTTTTTCTTTGCCTTAACCGGCTGACTCAGTCCTCGTTTGACCCTGTCTGTCGTGAGCTAAGCTCCTAGACTTGCTTTTTCTTAGAAGCGCTATTTAATATCCCTCCCTGCAGTAGTGCCTAAAAGATTCCAGAGCCCGAAAGCTATGCAGTGTTTGTTCTTGATTTAGGATCGACTAGGTAAATAATTTTCTATGGTTTTCAACATTTGACGTAAATTAATTGATTATACTCGTTAGTAAGTGTTGATAGAAATCGGAAATATATTGTAAAACTGTCTCTGCTGCATCTGGCAGACAACGCGTCATAAAGTCTACAGGTAGAAACTACCTTTATGTTCCGAGTTTTATATCCAGTGTCGTTCTTAGACATTCTACCAGAAGGTAGTCAGTTTGTCGTGTGGCTGCTTTGTGAAGGGGCTCATATCGATTTAACACGTTCTTAATAATCTATGGCATCTACGAATACGACGCATGTTGATTATGTTTCCTTACCGAATGGAATTGATGTAGATTTTCTATTTTATCTGCACCAATTAGAGCTGACCTTGGTAATACCATAACCTCGTTCGGCTGAATACTACCTAAGGAAGAACTTGATATAGTTGAATTATGCAAACAGAAGACTGATCCGGTAACCTGGGCCCTTTCCCCCGAACTGCAAGATTTAATTAAGTTAGACAACTTAAAAGTTAGCTGAAGTTACACTTCCTGAAGGTAGACATTTCAAGGAATAACAAGTAGGTTTTTAACTTCGGCAAACAAACTTTCACCTGGACAATCCGTAGATACCATTTGTTCTATGCATGAGAATCAAAGGCAGTTTTCATACCAGTCTATAAAATAATGTTTAATTTGCTTTTAATATAACTTTAAGCATCTATATCAATTTTGTCAATCTTTTTAAAAGGATTTCATTTACCATCGAGAATATGAATCTACCACCAACAAAAGCGCCCATGCTTTACAATATACCGATAATTTTTAATTTAATTAAAAAAAAAAAAGATAATGATTCTTCGATGGTCTGTGTGCAATGAACAACTGCTCATTAAAGCACCGCCTTTTCTAGTAAAGATACTTAAATATAAACATTTTAAATGAATGAGAACGCAACTATTAGTTGTCTGAAAAACAATTGCATTTTATTAAGTTGAGGTGATTCATGTTTGAAAGGAAAGACAAAGTCATTTCTGATCCTCTGAACAGCCAAACAAGAATGGTTAATGAATCGTAGGATTCATTCACCGCATCGAGCCATAAAAAAAAAAGACTGTTTCGTTGTATTTCTTGCCTATGAAGCGTACGATGTTTTCGTCTAGAGACGTTATATATGATCCAGATCTGGTCAGCAAAACTTTCTTCATAGTGCATTACGTATGTGGCTTAAACTTTACTATTTCCATAGGAGAGGACTTCGGGTGAAGTATCTAGTTTTTTTTTGTGTCAATCGTGATCCCAGCATCGTCTTCTTTTCATTTATATATCGACTATTCGTTGTGCCGAAAAATTTGAAAGGCACAAAACTGAACGAAGACACAGGCAAAAGCTAACTTGTTGGAGTTTTTGTCTTTCGTTAGAAACTACGTTATCATTGTTCATTGGTCCATTCGTTTTTTCGGCTTTTTGATATCATCAGGTTCGCCATGGGCAAGCAAGTAACTTGCTTACTTTTATTCAAAAAAGCCTGCTTCTGAAGGTGTAGTACTAACTACTTTGCTCCGAAAGTATGGGCAAAAGGAACGGATGCCGTTAATGCTATTGAAAAGCGTCACGAGAGGTGCTAAAAATGCTTATTTTTCCTATTCGACTAGTAGTAAACAGAAACAGAAGATAAACCGCTAGTTACCAATTGTAGTTATCAAATCGATCATACCAATCGTATACGAACTAGACTTATTTAGTTAAAAGTTGGTGCTTTTAATAAGATAATACAACTAATTAAACAGGAGCTCTTACAGTTTGACTAGCTGTAAACTAGGGTTTCGTTCATTCCTTCAGGACCACATTGGCCCTAAATGACGAATAATTAGTAATTGTGGGAACATAGAAACTCATCATACAAGGTGACAGCGGGCCGGCCATCAATCAGCGTACAAACGTCTTATTGCATATATATAGTAGTAGTACTATTCGTCTTCATTTTACCTGCATTGATTGATATCGACGTAAACCCTCACCTGGAGAATTTTATTGTACTTTAATAGCTGATGGGTGCTTTATTATAGGCATAGTAGGTCTTTCCCTATCTGCAGTGTAGCGACCTATTTCTGTTCTACAGCAGACGACGGTCAGAAAGTGATCGGTGCTAGTAATAATAGTTCTTTTCGTACATCATGATAGAGTATGTGGACGTGCGCGTGGGTAAACCCTACGTTCCGTTCGCGTTCTTGTACCTAAATAATGCAGTTCGGGCGACAATTCAATGTGCATGCTCTCATTTTATAAAAAAATTTATAATATGTATAAGAAATATTTATAAATTCGTGCATTGTGTTGGTCAGTTATCACAAATCCTGCGTAGAAATTGTTATGCCTTAGTGTAGCTTCTATGTATATAGGCTAATGGTAAAGGGACACTCTGAAGCTTTCTACCGATCAGAGGTGTATATATTGTCGGAAGTGTAATTGAGCTAGGAAAAGCGCTCTTTGGGTTTGAACTGGAGAGATACGATAAAATAAAGGATTGTTATATGACATAAAAAAGTGCATGGTGTTCTAAGCATAAAATTTAATTGCCCGCCGGGGGCCGGATGTGTACGATTAAAATAGTTCAGTAAGTTACTTCGACCGCTTTGATCGAGTACCGGCTTTCGCCTTTAATTACTGTTAACGAACGTGGATTATATCCTGTATGTGTGGTATTTTTATCATTGCTTTTTGCGGCACATCACAACCGTCCCTCGGATTTTCTACGCTGTTTCAAGCAGCAGCTTGGTTATGCGATAAGTTTTCTTTTTGTTTAAACCCTACCACATAGAAATTTCCCTATTTTCTATCTATCTCACCATCAGAATACGGCGAGAAGCATTTCGTTCTACTGCTTTCCTACAACGTGCATTATATTAGCGTATATTACCGTTAGCAGAATTGGCAATTAAACCAGTCGAATAGGACGTCGATAATTTAGCTTAATCAGTATAACAATGTCGTATATAAATGACTCGTTGAGGCAATGAAGCTGTTTGTAGCCTATATAGATATATATATGTATTTTATTTCGGCACAGCTGACTGACACCATATATGCAGACAGGATTCGTCATCAGTTATTATTAGACAATTATTGTCCTGCATCTCAAAGGCAAAGCTTGCGATCTCCTCATCAATCATGGACGCCACGTCAGTGATTGAGTTAATTTTTATTTGTGCATTTTCGTTTCTGATCACTCGACCGATTGGCTGCTTTAGGAGCCTACCATGTACTTCTATTTCATTAATGGGCCTTCATTTCGCTGCGTCATCATGCGGGTTTATTTTGATGATTTTTTTGTTTTTTTTTTTCTGCTGACGATCGATCATCTGCCTTGCTTCTTCTCAGCTATTTTTGTCGTCGAAGTTAGCAAATGAACACCGTGATTATGGTCACAATTTCGTGACAGATCATTCTAGGACAGTATCGAGAACTCCTAGCGAACGCACGATGTCTGGATCCTGAAAAATACACAGGCGCAATTGACAAAAGGCGCCACAAAAAGAGGCGCATTATTTTTCGACCATGCATAGTATATTTCTTAGATTAGTTTAGGTCAGTAATAACTCCTAGCAACTTTACGGTGTTTCTGTACGAGTGTTGTACTTGACCGCTCGACTTTTAATCGTCTTACTTTAATACTAGTTTCAATAAATAACTACTCTTTTGCAAAGCTGAAATGCACAAAAGAAAGGGTTTCAGTAGGATTGACCACTGTGATGTAGTAGCACCATAGGCCAGTAAAACGTGCAGTACTATCATTGATATTTGTGAGAATAAGGCAAGACGGTGGCGACCGATTTCAATTTTGCGTACCAGGAGAGAGCGCTTCGTGTCTCTTCGAAAGCCTCTCACCGAGAAAACGTTTAACGTTGGCGAAACCCATGACAGATCAGGTTCGGTGCGAATGAGGGGCAAAATAACGGAACACATCTACTTGAAAACAAAAACATGTTTATCTCAGCACGTTAAGAAACGGCCAATCAGCCGATTCCAGAACATTTCCATATAAGCTAGGTAAGTAAAATCATTAAAACATTCAATAAAAAAGTGTCAAATAAACGTGATGGCAATAAGAATTCGGAACAGGCTTGGAGCGAAACTCATCTCGAAAGGATATTCTGCGTTATCATAAGCTATATATCTTAAACGCAGATTTGTTTCAATTGCGCAAACACTTATCGAGCATAGGTTGAACGTCTCTATGATGTAAAAAAATATGGGGAGCCGTTTAGCTGTTTCGATCGTACGTCTGAACTAAAAACATGTTGAGACCTTCATCCCGTAATAGTATCAATTCAATTAGTACTATTGATTGTTATTCGTTGATATCTGCTGGAGTCCAGGTTATTGAGCTATTCTAGACAACATCAGAATAAGAAAACGAAGCTATACAAACTTGATTCTTCAAAAGCAGAGTCCACTATTTTTGTTTTAAGCTTGGCCCAGGCCTAAACGTCAACTTGAACCTATAAGCAATCATAAAGGCCGCAACACAGCACGTTACAACTGTTCTGTAAACTACACACAATCTGATTAATTAGATTTGTGAATTTTTACTTCGTTTGTTGAGTGCTATGGTATGAGATGTGGTAGAGGTAATTTGACTTGCTAGGCAAGTTTACCTTACTCGATTGGCTTACCTTAAGGCAAGCGTGTACGAACTCATCACTCGTTACGACGCCATCACGATTAAAGTCCAACTTGAGAAATACTCGACTAACGTGTTTCTTGGCTGATATCTGAAAAGCCAAAATTGTTGCAACCCAGAGCGATATGTTAACAAAGAATAACGGTACCTCTAGTTCGCTTTCCAATCTAGTCAACAAAGAGTCGAGTGCCCTAGCGTCACGGCTAGCAACAAACGAGTAAAATGTCTATTAATGTTCCTCTGCATCATCGGTAAAATGAGAAATTTCATATCCCCTACGGTGTGTGCCAAGCTGCTGTTATATTGGCCTATCGCTTTTCAAATCTGGCAAATTGGGCCAGCAATGTTTCCCGACTTGGTAAATTATGCCAAGTACAATGTGTTGAACACGGTTAGTTTCAATAAAGTATATAAGTGCACGTGTTTCATCTATGACCGCTGTCCGTTACCTGAGCATACTAATGAAAAGTGATCCTTGGTTGGTTCTACTTGGTTGGCTTCTGGAATGCCGAATTTCTTTGAACTTCCGTTAACCTAGAACTTTGTCATCGCAGGGTATTATTCTCAAGCTTGCCATCTGAAGCGATGCTGGACGTGACACATTTTTTTTTAATATGTTGTCCTCGCATGAGTAGCGAAAAAAAAAAAAGCACTCCTCTAACCCGTGCGGACCTTATTAATTTTTTTAATTTCCGATCAGATATTTTCTTGTCCATCTTCAAGTAATCACCTGTGAAACGAGCTGAGCTGAAGGAATTGATTCGGTGTTCTACTCCTTGGCACGGAGCGGGAAGCTGCGATGAGTTCTTCTCAGTAAACAATAGCCCTATTCGAATCATATTGCCCAATATGGAAAATGGGCAAAACTAAGGTAAAATCGAAAGTGTGTGTTTTTGCATTTTGACAGAGAAATGTTTCTTCATGTATTGTGTGTTTCGTCTGAAATGAGGCTTTACAAGCTGTCTTCGGTAAAAGTCGCGTTCATAATTCGCAAACTACGTCGTACTTGGCCTAGTGGAGAAAGTCAGAGCTTAGTTAACTTATCGCATGAAGTATTCAGACATTTTATCCTGCATCCAGCGTAGCGCAACCTACATTTCTGGTCGACTATTATTCTTTATAGCAACAGAATTTTCATCGAAATGCATGCTGATGTTCGCAATACCAGATAGATCGGTCGTTTTCATGTAACTCAATAATACTGAGCGATTCATGCTGAACTTCATTTAACTTCTAGAAAAAAAAAAGTCAAGAATATTTAGTACGTAAGCTGCATTGATTCCAGCATAAATAGTTTTGCCTTGACTTGGTTATTTCTATTTTATTATTCTTCTTTGAACGGAAGACCGTCAACTACCAAAGATTAAGGGTGTGTAAAAATAGACGGTGGATACTTGAACTACAACGAAAGATGCTCGTATCTCAGACGTACGTTATATATGTACCTATTTCTTAAAATTGCGCACAACGTAGCGTAGAACTGCACCGATCATTTTCTAGGTAATCTTATGTAGAACTAGTCAGAATAGCACGGGGTATTCTCAACTCATTCTTTAGTTATTTATTTTTTTTTTGCTAAGATTTCTTTGGTTTGAATTCGACAGGTGAGAAAAATCTTTATGGCATCATTATTGCGTCTCTGAACTTGCCCGACGTCTGCTGTTGATGAATATCCTGAATTGAGTTGAAAAGGAAAAGTTCATGCCCCGTCTGCACACACCTACTCGTACGTTACATAGAAAGTGCCGCTAAAGCAAAAATAACGTTTTGCGTGAGAACTGTTGCGTATTTGTAAGTTGGCATGAATATGTTTGTAAATTGATTTTCCTAAGTTTATTTCAGGTCGGATAACGTCCACAATGCGCTAGGAGAGAGTGCAGTATATTGTATAGCCAACAGATGGGACTAGCCACCAAACCCATAGTGAACTCGCTTTGGTACAAACGTTTTTTGATAAAAAATCATGGCACTGGTAACGCGGTATAAAAATGATCACCGAGTTGATAGAACACGTTCGCTTGATGAAATTATTAATGCGAACATAACCAAATGGTTGAGCACAGCTCAATAATGTTCACGCACAATTTCTGTTTACTATATCTTACAATTTTTGCTAGGGCAATGTATAAACGTTGAGCAGATAGTCTATTGCGCTCGGTACATGACAACTACACAAGTATTAACATTGGATATATCGATTTGTGTTACTTTACTCGTTAGTTCAGGCTTTTCTAGTTTTATTTTTAGATACCCTTCAGCTGCTATTGTGTACTGTTCTGGTATGGAAAATGTTAACTTTCGACTAGCACTACTCAAAGGTTATCGAAAAGTGAGCCTTTTTCGGAATCGTTCGATAAAACTATAAACAAATAGGGAAAGGGTAGATCTAATAGTAAAAAGACAGATGTGGCCATCAGCCGCTTACCTCATCGACGCAGGGTTGAGCACAATGTCCGAGTAATGAGTAAACCGAGTTAACGATCTCGAGCATTTCCTCAGCTGTGATACAGCCGTCGCGATTTAAATCGTATAGATTAAATACCCACTCGAGCTTTTCTGTTGGGGAGCCTCGCGACAATATAGAGAGGCCTTGTACAAAATCCTGTGCAGAACGATGGAAAATCAATAGTGAGTCACTACTACCAGCGAATAAATAGAATGATATACCTAACGGGTTGATCTGAAGTGCATAATTTGGTAGGAATACATTCATTCAGTTCGGTATTATTCAAAATTATACATTTAAAGCCTACAGGTAAAAGTTCAGGTAAGAGGAAGTTTATCACCAGACCTTGACCTTTGTTGGCTTCCCGCAACCTCATTTGTCTTCCAAACTTTAGCCCATTGGTGTCATAAACTCTAGACGTACCACACAATATAACGACATACGTAAATGCGTTTTTGATATTAATTAGTGTTTATTTGTTTGTATAAGTTTGTCCGTGTATGAGAGATAGATCTATCAGAGCGTAGTTCATAAATTAGGCTGTTAAGATTTACATTTCGCCTGCGCTAAACACTGATATATCAACAGAGGCCACCTATACAAACTGGACTTTTTTAACGTCAGCCTTGTTGTTCATATCTCCCAAGTAGTCGGCTCTATTCTTAATAAAACCCAGCGAATAACCCTGGCCATTGACTTTGTGTTGTACGTACGTACGTACGTCTACGCGAACGCGCTAAACATTGGGTAAATTGTCTTCAAGGAGTGTTATAATAAATCATTAAACCGCAGACAAACTGGGCCTTGACGTAGATATATAAATCTGGATTTTTAGGACCTACTGCATTGGTGCTTATGAAGAAAAGCGACACCGATTGGAGGATTTGATGAAACTTTTCAGATAACAACACCTTACTTAAGGAAATGCACGTAAGGCCGTTGCGACAATAGTACGGGTATTAATATGATTATAGCTGTCAGTATTGAACGGCCAACCAGTCCACTATCTTGAGTAAAGTAACATCTCCTGAATGAAACACACGCTGGATACATGGCTTTATTTGAGATTCGTTCTCTACAGTAAATAGAATGAGGACTTTTATATATAATGGTTGTGTACCAACAGAAAAACCGATATTCGCTGGCCGCCATTGAGTCAACCTATAACGAATGACTTTAATTGGGCCATCTTGTATTGTACGCTTAAATATTGCTCAAAAAACCTTTGAACTTTTCGCCTTTTTTCAATTTTCTCTAGATACTATTATTGAGAAGATGAACAGTTACAGAGTATTTAATAAACTCGACCATTTAATATAGGCTTGAATATATATATGGTGACGAAAAAAAACGTAGTGATGTTTCTAAAATGATTTGTTCATGTAGAGATTCGAGTCAGAGTGATAGAAGTGGTAGAGTTGAAATTGAGGGTCAGATCATCAATACGACGCATCTGCCTTCGCTAGTACTTGTTCCTTGTTGAATAGCTAGTAAACTGAGTAATACTTACTTTAAAGTTAATTGTGCCTGTTTTATCTTTGTCAAGTACTCTGAAGACATAGTGCGCATAAAGGGTGGTATCGGCGAGTGGGAAGAATTGACAGTACATATCCTTGAACACTGCCTCTGTTACGAGACCACTGGGGCAGGTCTGAAAATAAAATATACAGAAGGAGAATTGTACGTTACGATCAAGCAGCGCCAAAAGAGGTTTGGAGCGACTGAATCAATTAAGTGCACGTTTTGTGACATCGTTTACCATCGTTGACGAAAAAAGCGCACGCGCACGAATACATGCAACGTCAAGTTGCATATGTTCCTATAAAAGTATTATAAATCAGCCTATTTAACATCCTAATTTAGTTAGATATTAGCAAAATTGTGCGCTTGGACACATACCAACGTCAAATAGTTGACTACCTGCACGTAATTGGCGTTTCAACCAGACGTTTACTCAGCGAAGCGTAAGTAAGAGTCATACATAATTAAGATACGTTGTTTGTATGTGTTAACTGTTCAGTCTTCCAGTTTAACAACAGCTCGTTTCGTGTGAGTTCTTCGATAGAAGGGGCGACCTGATCTGGAGGGCTAATGTATATCCCTTTGAATCCGTCGTATCGTAACCATAATTGACAAGTAGTGTATTACGCTGGTGCAAATCTCAGTGTTGGCAAGAAAAATTGACACCAAAAACTGACGGTCAGGAAAGATAAAAGGTTCAAGAAAAAAAAATTCGGGGAAGGTCAAGAATTATTAACAAGTTAATAGATGTCGTGTGGTCACTATGCATTTTTGTAGGTCTGTTAATGAAATCCCAAATAAGTCCGGCAAAATCCACTCCCATTGGACTCCTACTGGGAGCAGGCCATGGCTGCTATACTCTAAGCAGAGGTGATTCTAAAGGCCTGCTCATATGAAACAACTCAAAGTATTAAATATATACATATATATATTTAGTAAAAAATGTTTTCAGATAACGTGTCTGACCACGAGATTACATTATTCTATTTTTTCTACGATAAGGATTTGTGTGTGGTTCTCAATCTTTGTATATTTTAGCCTTGCTGGTTCTATTACGCGGGACGTTCTCAGACCAAAAATGGAACACAATATAGCAAACGTTTATTATTATTTTCTTAGTTAGTCACATAATAATTCAAAGAATCTTGAAATGTTAATGCCAATCTCGTCAATAAGGCGATGGCCTAACTCACTATCATGACGCGTTACTTGAAGTAAATTTACAAATACATGATTTTTTGATGAATCTGATTTGTGAAAGCCTCAAATTCGTGTCAAAATCGTGTACTGACTGTCTTCTAATGAATTTTTCGGAACTTTTAATTTCCTATATCGAGTGAAACTATGTTAATATATTTGTCACCTTGACCTAGTAGACTGGTCATATATCCCAAATCGCGTTTTGACTTACCCAATATACGAGGAAATATCAGCGCGGGTTGTATACGAAATGCCTAAACCTAAATTTTCCTCAAGTAGGCTGTTTTTATTCGATCCAGTGTTGTCAAATAGAAAAAGTTTATTCCATGCCATACGTTGTATTTTACCGACAACTGCTAGCAAGGCAGCCAGTGTCTTTTCTTGTAAAAAAAAGAAAGCTACATATAAGATGTATACAGTGTACGACCATTTGCGTACATGAAAACCTTTCCGCCAACAGTAGTATAGTAGTTCTATGTAGAAACAGGGCGATGAGCAGAACATTGGTAGACTGAATCCATCACTCTAAACGAACCTCGTTCTATGTTAAACGCTAAGATACTTAACTACTTCATTGATTGATCGGGCTGCAGGATGCTCTTAACGATGCGACAACGGTCCTAGTACGGCGAGTTTAAAGTATATAAGCTTTCCACGACTGTAAAGAAGATATGACTAAATTACAATAACACAGCAGTCTTTCGATAGCATTTGAATGTAAAGGATTTTTTGCCCAGTCGTATAGGTTCTACCAGATCAGTTTTTGTGCAGCCTGAGGTAATCTGTCTTGACAAATGAGTGTGGCTTAATTAGTCCTGTCTAGCGCAGGCAAACTTTTTTACCCTGTGTCCTTGCCGCTTCGGTAAGTTTCGAAATTCTACTTAGTTCGTCATGGTAATTTAACAAGCTAATGCGTTATACGCATGTGTACATTTACTGTCCTTTTCAACTTATTCGAAAGGAGGTTCATCTTAGCGTAATAACGGTACAAGCGTTAGGTCACCCCTTTTTTTGGATCCAAATTAATTCGGATAACTTTTACCCGATCTAACATATTGGGAAACAAACGCAGGACGCTCTTAGATCACGACAGCGTTGCCGCTGATACAGTAGCATACATCTACCGCGGTGATGATGTTTCAGTGTGTAATAACGGTAACAGATGCATTTTTTTCAGGCGGCACAGTTTTACCTGAGCAAAAGAAGTTTGACATAAATCATACTTAATTTCAGTCGTAATTTGCATCACGCTCGGCTTTCTTTCAATGTTAGTTAGTATTGTCTGACTCAATGAAAACGATTGATGGCAGGACGCAGTCAAAGCTAGTGACGATAGACAATAGATTTTAAGAAAACAGCATGCCTATATTTGACATAGCCTTTTGAGACTACGATTTGAATGACTAATCGTAAAAACTATATAGTTTATCCAATCCGTATATATAATAGCGCTATTAGAAAACTTGCCGAAGCACTTATGGTCCGTCTTCCCTGCGGTGATATCGAAAGACCTCTCATTTGTAGTTGCTATATAGTTCAATACGTCAAAACAATGTGCCAAGTGAACTCAGTTCAAACAATGTTACAATCTACGTGTCAACTTTTTTTTATTATAGGGGGATGTTACCATCGAGAAATTATGTGTTGGCGGTCGACTGTGGTAATGTAATGCGGGAAAAAGTTACAACCCGACAATTTAATATAAAAGAGTCAGCTAAATCAGTTTAATATGTATGGAACAGAATACTGTAGAACGACGCTTGATTATTGGAATGGTGGCAATTGTTGAAAATATCCTGTTATGAATTTTGCCCCAGTCTTGTCCTCGAACCCAGGCCGTTTTGGATCTTTATTAGCTGATTAAACGTAGGAAGGACCATGCCTCATTAAAAGGCTACTCATGCTATTTCGGGTACAAAAACATTTATTTTTGCAAATATTAAACACTTGTTTGACAGTCATCGCCTTAACATATAATCCAGTTACCTGGTTCTGAAACATATTTCTTTGTTCGCTGCTTGAACTCGAGAGGCGAGACTGGCCGGAAACGGTTTCACTGGTTCACCGTATACTGATAGCAGATATACGGATAGTCATATATTGTAAGATAATCTCGTAATACATAACTTGATTCAATATTCACATTAATGACAGGATGTCAATAAAAAGGGAGCAGTTTTCCAAGTGGCAGGATATAGTAGTTATGGTGAGCGGCGTCGAAGGAGTACTAGTTTGTTTCTACAATCAAAAGATATGTATTTCCATATAATTGCACATAGTTGACACTGGACTAATTAACTAACTGTAAGTTAACTAAGTGGGTAAACGGATCAAAAAGCGCCAGCGGCAAACTCTCTGTCGCTGTGATAGCGCACCCTAAGCCTACAACGACCAGCCACAGTTCTACAAGCAACGGCCTTTACATGGCCGTTGCTTGTAGAATCATGTCTGTCATTTCAACGAATTCTTCGTAGATCAGAGGGCTTCTCTCAGAAAACCTATTAGGACACTTGAAAAAAGTAGATGCCCTCAGGGACGCACCAGTAGTAAAACCGTGTCCTAGACTAAACTAAGTGACTACAATTCTAAAAGTCTGGAGCTGAAATATGTGTTAACTTTGAGAGCTATTCGTAGAAACTTCGATGTACTGCGAGAAAAAAAAAAAAACTTATATGCGACAAGGGCAACTTCTTTCCTTAGACAAGCTTTTGTATTGTGTAGAACATTTTCAAGTTCTAAATATAGAAGCACCTTTGATTGGGCTAATTAGGTTCGCCAACAATACGGCTTTGGGATGAACACTTCGCTATAGAAGGAGCCCATACGCCAAAAACCTACTTTCTTTCTAGTCGATTAAGAATGTTGAGCATATTACGGTAAATCAACGTAACAGGATTACGAAATATATGGCAAAATAATAACGTAGACCGTGTATCACCATTTAAATGTGGTGGTCATAATAGTAACCCATAATTTCACGATATATTATTTGGGAGATGATTTACGAGCTACGAAACGAACCTAACAACATTCGCGTGAACAGTATTAATCTTAACGTTGTCCACTGAAAATAGGTCTTTATTTGACTGAACAGGTGTTTATATGGTGTATGTGCCGTACGTTTACGTGTATGAATTACTTGTTTGAATCCCTGATAAATCCTTTTTATCTCGTCGCGGTTAAACTTGGTCGTCTTGCAGAGGTTACCGATCGCTTCAGGCTTACACCGTACTGAACTCGTTTCGAGCTCGTCGATTGCTTTCTCTGTAATACGAACAAGAAGAACCATACGGATCAGACATTTAACGATTTCTCATTAACTAAAGCGGTTATCTTCAAATTATATAGTTGAAATATATTCTCGAAAGTATTAATACTATGCATAGCATTAGTATTTTCGAAATTTTTACCGCTATTTTTAAGAAACGATGTGGCTGACTGTGAGCATTCCGTAAGTAAACACGAGCTAACTAGCCCTATACACATGTGTCTGACAAACACTACAACGAACAAAGCAACTCAGCAGATCTAACAGATGGTAGAAGTTCCCTACACTTTGTTCGGCTTCTTATGTCGAAGCGTTTTTTTTTTTTTTTTTTTTTTTTTATTATAGGCCGTTATGAATTAGCATTTGTAGCATAATCGTAGAATTTGGCAACGTACATGTATTATGTAAAACTTCCCAATACAAACTTTGATCACGTAAACATCATAAGTCTGTTCTGCGGATAGGATGATTTCGCTATAAATTTCACAGCATTCCGTTATCTCAGAGCTCGTGTATTTGTATGAATATAAACAGTATGCTAACGTAATTGTCGACGTTTTTTCATTTTACACAACATCTTTCGTATAGTATTCGTCGTCCCTAGCTCCATCACACAGCAAAACGCGTTTACGTACGGATTCGAACCTCGACTACCAAGAGCCCGTGAACTTCACTACGTGAGCACACTACCCACTACACTATCATCAATATAAATTTTCTGCGGTAGTAATAATTTAACTTTCAACGTAGTTCTAGCAGTACTAATGTTTCCTTGATTACCTATATTCTTTATATCAAGCATAAATCGATCGATGTATCATCCTGATTCCCTTGTGTAAGGTCATAGGAAACGCTCTACGGCCTTAGGTACGACATACCGTATGCAACGATACAGAAAAGCTGATAGAGACAACCGGGAACAAATTGACTCCTATTCTATCTAATTTTTGTAATTTTTCCTAAAATTCCCATGCAGAATATTATGAGATAGATTTATATTGCATTCTTAACCAAATTTCTACATGATTTTAGAGTACGTTCTACTAGTGTACATCAGTTTTTATCATACCGGTGTCATATCAAACGGTAAATCAATATACTCAGGATAAACACTAGCAGGTATCCAGCGTTATCTGTGCAGTAAAGCTACTGCTTTATTTTATGATCTCTTAAAGCGGCTTCGCTCAACTGAGATGCCAACTATAATATCTGTATATGATTTCTCACGCTTGTCACGTTGCAGAATTACCATTTTTTGGTTCAGTCGCGTAAACTATATTGGCTAAGGTAAATATCTATTATCGTACATTAAGGCGTCACAAGCGTATTTGTAACGGCTCCAAAATACTACACAAGTAGTCGATCGCTATAGTAAAGCACATACAAAGCTCCTTGCGGTGTTCAACAACAGATAAGCATATGGGGCAAGATAAGCAACGTATTCGGACTTATGTCTGTTTCCTGTCGTTCAAAATATTGCCTGACGACGGCAAAACCGTGCAATATTAAGCTAACTTCTGTAAACTTATAAATCATATAAGCACAGCACTTCAGATTAATTTTATTTTATTGCTATATTAGTAAGAATCACGGCCCGCCCAATGCCTTCAGCTTTTTCGAGTTACTAGTTCATTAATCTGCCTTGAGACGATGAACCATCTCTAGCAAATGACGGAATACGTCATTTGCTAGAACTGGTCCGGAGTCGTATTTAGGCACCTTGGAGCAGTGACGTGTTTCATTACGTTAGTAAAAACGACGCGAGTAGTCTTTGGGAAATGTGTACTTGCTACAACTTAACTCAGTATCAGTTCGAAATTTTTGCAATATCGTCCCGTTCTCAAAAACGACCCCAGTCATCATCTAGAAAATCATATTTAGTACCGCCACCGTCTTTAACTAGCCGCTCATTCTATTCGTAGTTTATAACAGTTCAAAACACCAGCTAGTTATGACTGCGTCAATTCGGAGCTGATTTACGTTTATCTACGTAAAAAATTATCACTATCTCAATTGTAAGGCTAGACGAACGTCTCTAAATATGTCGAGGTAAAGTGTTTTCCATAACGAGCACACGTCGAATTTTGTCGCATCACTTCACAGGTGATTTTCGTACAGTGATCTTGTGAGGTCCAGCTGACTGAAGCTGACAGCATCTGATGACACGCGTTTAATTATCTAAGTGATTTTTCCTTGGAAATTTTATCACATACCTCTTAGAGCAGATATGACCAGCTAGGTTTCAAATTTAACGTATAACGATATGCTAGGAACTGAACGGCTTTCAACGTTTTGCCCTTAGAGCTACGTATCTAGTTAGTTGTACGTGAACGGGTGCGAGTCGATTAGTGAAAGGGCGACGGAACTTCATCTTTCGGTACCGGTAAATCAAGTCATTCTATGCAAAAATATAAAAAAGTATGTACTGTATTTCTCCCATGCGTTTATGGATCGTTCTATTGTTCTGCATACGTCACATTATTAATTTCCTCCTCTGCAAAGAAAAAACAGCAAGCCTATGCCCTCTTAAAGAATTTAGTTAACTCCAGAGTGGTACCAATACAAAGCCACTATTTTAACTATTAATTTATAGTATGCCCGAAAGGAAAAAAAGCAATACGTTCTGAGCTAAATCAGAATGCTTCGATGTGATATAAAATTACAATTGGTTAAATTGTTTACCATAGGTTTTAGGGGTCGTTGTTACGAAAACAGATCAAGCTACAACCGATTCCAGCATACGTCTCGGCCTTTTTTTATTTTTCAAATCTAAAACAGTGACTCTGCAAGCACTCCACCTCTGCCAAGTAAGTTCCTAAAGTACAAAGATGTTTGTTGAGCCCTACCATTGTGACAAAGAGTCTTACGATATATTTTTGCCAATCTTTCAAGTGTTCCATTTCATCTCATTCATCGATGAGGTAAACAGAACAGCTTTAAGACTCTTATTTTTCTGGCTTTGTCATAGCTATAGACACGGCAAAGATACGGAAATGGGTAGGGTGGCCCGATCAATGAAATATTCTATCATAATAACAAATCTCTGAAAAGGTTTCGCCCCACCCCGTTTTAGAATATTCGTTCAAGGGATGCTACTGCATGGGATTCACTGTGCACGTCTATGTTTTTAAACCTTTTCTTTTTTGCTAAACCTGCAATATATGATTATTATAGGAAGCTTCATACGTCTGCTGCTTTCACCTAGAGGAAAAGACTCTGTCTAGGAGCAGTCGTGCGAGCGCCGCGTCAGTCATGCAGCTAACTCTGTAATCAGTGCTGGGAAAGTATACTATGCTAAATAGCTGCCTTGGTGTACTACCATACCTTGTGACACAGATACTAGGCCTGTACCTTCCGACAGGCTCAGACCCGAACAGCAACGATCTGCGCAATATAGGTTCGGATACTTTCTTGTAAATGATTTCATGCGCACTTATCTGTTTTCGAACCAGGACGTGAGGACTAAATAGAGAATATGACTGGTCGTTTTTATAGCTACGACGCATAAATTTATGAAGTTGAGTATTTGTTCGTTGATTACATTGTGACACAGTGAGCTTAGAGGCCCATTGTTCAGTTAGACATGGGCAATTGTGATTTCGAACTCAGTCACAAGACACGCCACTGGCGGAGTTAATTAGGATTTGATGTCGTATTTTAAGTAAACAAATAAATTACAAGGATATTTGTCTATAATAGAAATACGAGCATATGTGCTGCTGCATGTATATCTGAATTACATACAGATCTTGCGCCATACTGTAACAGTTTCAACCTGTATAAGAAGGCAATAGTCAGAATGAAAAAAGAAATGGTCTTAAGGAACCCTTGCCGGTATGAAACAACCAAAACATAACTACAAACGATCAAAACACGATGCAAAAAGGCCGTGTATACTGCTAAGACCCAACGCACGTAAACATACGGTAACGTACGTCGTATCAAACAGTTATATTAGTGTTGACTAGATCGTAGTTGGTCATTATGAGCTGTCTTCATGGATACTTCAATAGGAACTCAATGAAAACCGAATGTTGTTCATTTGACCTCATTCAGGCAACCTTTGAGGTTCCTTCGTCTCACTTTATCTAGTACATCATTATATAAAACAAATTTAGGATGCACTTTAGTAGGATTTTCTTGAGATATTTAATAGGCTTGAATGAGCCACAAGTTGCGCTCTATATGTTTTCTGTTCGTTGGCTACGCAGCGAAAGCAAAGTAATCGCGTTCCTATTACTCTTAACGTATTTACGACATCGTAAGGACACGGAGCTCAGGGCGATTCGAACTTTTTCAAATGAGGCTTATCATACATAAAACGAGTGTTTTAAGGACTAGTTTTTGCGCGTTAACAACTCAGCACTATTACACAAATAAATTTCAATGTGCTATTTATTGTAGATCAATATAAAATAATATTCTGTGGCCGGAATCAGATTTGTTCCCGAACGATGCAGCATTATTACAATGCAAGCGTAACACTGTGTTTTATATCCTGTTTCGAAAAAAGTCAATTTTTTAGGTAGATGCGCCTTACCATTTGTACTTATATATATATATATATATATATATATATATATATATATATATATATATATGTACGTGTATATACAACTTATTCGTTGACAAAATAAGAGAGAACAACTGACACTCTTATATAGCTGACTCCAGTAGGCAAGCAGATATTCGCATCAAACTTTCTACCTTTGCATAGGCTGTACTCCTATTGTTTATTTATATAATTAAGTTTTTGTTAGTTGCTAGTTGGATACACAACTGCGTCATGGCTTCTACACTCATCCGTTGGAAGAAATAGGACGAATTTACACTTTATCGTTTCGCGTATCGTTTCGTAGACGTATTTCGACGGTCAAAGCTATTTTGCCCAGCCGCAACTAGTTTGATACGTGGTTAATTCAAATAATTAGGAGAAACAAAGGGGCAAAGCGCACGGTGCATCTTTAACGCCAAGTACCGTGGACGTGTGGCGATT